GGGTTTACACAGACGAGCCGGCGAAGCAAGAAGAGCGCCAGAAGAAAGGGCCCTAGCCGGCGGGGCCCAGCCAGGACAAAAGGAGGTCCCACAAAACGTCTACACCGGCCGCATTTGCGGTCGGGGTAGACGACGGATGGGGCCCACCTACGAAGGCTGTCCAGGCCTACACGAGATGATGCAGGATAAAGAGGGATAATCCCCCTCGATCCCAAATCATTGAGGCCAATTTCTAGCCATGGAATAATGGCGCGTGTATTAAAACCTGCCCAATATTTCCAATCAACTGTTTGGGCTGACCAACGAAATATTTGTCTGCCGAACGACTTTGACCGGTCTGACCATTCGCTGAACAAAGACTTTTATCATATCAGAGTTTGGCTAAAAGTTGATACTTTCCTGAATCTAAAAACGGTTCAATTATTGCCACCAATGCCACCTAGAATTACTACAGGTGACAATGGTTAGGTGTAAGGTAACAATGGATTAGGTGTAATACCATTACACCGGTTTTCACCGGTGCATGCAGCAGCATCTCGAAAAACACCCTTTTGGACATTCCGAGGCTAGATGTTCTGTTCTATGATCTAATATTTGGTTTCTGATCATTGATTTTTTAGGTTAAATAATTTTGGTACACAGAAGGGAAACAATTCCAATCATCAAAATAAAATTGCCTATGATATTACAATTTTCGATTATCTAGGCGACAACAGAAAAGTGACATAACCCCAAATGTCAAGAATTTCTGAAGCATTTGTTGTCGACTCTAAATATTCTATTTATAATTGCGGATGTACGGCAAATCTATTTATAAGTCTCAATCTAGTTTGAAATGAATAGATCTCTCCATGGTTGGAAAGAGTTTAGTTGTCGACATTTAGTGGAAGATATAAGTCAATATATTGGTAATTTTATTTCAAGTTTAACGCGATATTTAATAGACACAGTGGAGCATTTAATATTAGCCTGTATTTTATACATAATAGTATGTATAACTCTATATATCTTCATGGTAAAAAGGAAATATATTACCTTCAACCGAGAAACAAGAAATGCAAAAAGGGTCCTATTTGTTATTGCACATCCTGATGATGAATGCATGTTTTTTGGCCCTACAATTCTTACCTACACAAGAAAGAAGAACTGTCAAGTGTATCTCATGTGTTTAACAACTGGTTTGTACCAATAATAAATTGCAAAATTTTAAATAACCAACCGATTATGTTAATGTCTTCCTATTATCAATTTTAACCATAACACTACTTATATATAATTGTATCTGTTTCACGTTTCTGATAATGTACTTCAAATTTTTAGGTCAAAACTATGGTATGGGTTCAACGAGGAAAAAAGAATTATACAATTCTTGTAAAATATTGGGTATACCAATGGGTAACATTTTTATTCACAGCCATACCAACCTTCCTGATACTATGGATGTTCGATGGCCAACAGAATTGATTTCTCACATTATTTCCTATCAAGTAGATACACTAAATATAACGACTTTAATAACATTTGACCGATATGGTGTATCACGTCACTGTAATCATTGCTGCATATATTATGGCGTCGCAAATCTTATTCTAGACAGAAAATTGCCAAAATGTACGTACATAATATACTTCTGTCTCCTTATTATACGGTACAAGATTTAAATATTACCCACTATTATCTTTATTTAAAGAAAAATAGAATAACTAACAGGTCGATTTGTGATTTGATCAAGGCAATGCACTCTGATGAAAATTTCATCTTTAATGTCGAGACCGTTTTGATGACTGCCAGTTTTATTAAATAGTAGGGAATTGAAAAAACTCAACCATATAAAGAAATTGACATTTGGATGTTGTTTTTGAAAAATTAAAAAAAAAACTTAGAATAGGTACCATAATCAAATTTAAGGGTGGAGATACGTTGCAATATGCAGTCGATTATTAAAAATGAAATTGTAATAATTATTTCAAAATGTCCAACAGCTAACTATCCAAATTCACTCTTTTTACTGTCGAATAGATAATTTCAAGCCCGTTCTAATGAAATTGCCATTTAGAAAAATTAAGTTGTAACGCTGGCCATTAACAATAAAGATGAAATTTTGCCTTGACCAAATACTTTTTTTCCTCATATAAAAATAATGTGTGGGCAATATTATTAATCTCTACACTGTATTTGTTTTAAATTATCAGTTAAATGGTAAACATTTTTTCCAACTTATTTTAAAATTTTTTTTGTTGTGTTCTACACTACATCGATATAATAAACACACTGAGGCTTCATAAATGATTGCAAGCCATGTGACCAGTAATTTTGTTTGGAACCGTAGGTAATTTTATTTCCTTCATGTTGGTCATTAAATTTCGGTAAAATTAAAAATTATTAAAATAGTAATATCAAGGTTACATTAAAACACAACGTTCTGTTTCATCGACTGTGATTGGTGTAATTTTTCACGAAATACTGTTCAACCAATCAGCAATTGCATTATCTCGAGCGAGATGTAACGGTTTGCCATTATTGATTGTAAACGAATCATTAACATAGGTGACGCCAACATTTAGGAATTTTTAGCTAACAGTACCAGCCGTGCAATATCGGTTGCCTAAGCTCGGCATTATCGTGGCTTGTAAAAATTCATGAAATGTAAAGTAAGAAGTGTTGAAAATGAGTTATAACTATTAATTTATTTTTCAACAATTTTAGTTGGCATGTGATATTGACGCTGGAATACTGTTTATTTTTTGTTTTAATTCTTGATAAATAAGTGAAATTAAATTTTAGATTGTGGGGTATACGTCCTTGAATCCATTAATACTTTAAGGAAATATTGGTTATTATTGGACATCCCAGTATCACTTTTTCTATCAAGATTCAGGTTTGTATAAATGAAAGATTTTATATACATAAAATATTCGCCCCTTTTTTCACAACTCGCAGAGAATTAAAAAAAAAATCATAAAAATATATTTATGGCCGCAAATTACTTGTAAAAAACTGAAATTAGGATAGCTTTTAGTATTTTGAAAATTTTAAAAATCACTCCACTTAGCATTGAAAAAATGAAGAAATGAAGAATTTGAATATTACCAATTGATATAAAAACTATTAGCATGTGATTTACTTCTGATATTCTCAATTTTTGGGGTTGATTCCACCCCCTAAACACGCTTAAGGATGGATTTTCTAATTCAACATGTTTATTTCAGTCATGAGAATAAATCTTTCTTTGTATCAAGAATCATTCGATAGAAAAATTCACATGCTAATAGTTTTGGGCGTCTTTTCAACCCCTAAATAGGGGTGATTTTTGAAAATTTTCAAAAAACAAAGCTATGCTCATCTTAATTTTTTACAATGAGTTAATTTGAGACCAAAAACATATTTTTATGTATTTACTCTTCACTTTTTAACATCCTCGTTATTTTTTTACAATATTCCATTGACATTATTGGAATAAAAATAGAAAAAGGTCAGTGGATCTCGGATAATGTTGAGAGATGTGTAAAAAATAAGTACCTTGGTTATTGGTTGGTATAAGTTTTTGATATAACAGTTTTCATTATCAAAAACTGTGCAATTATTACTAACAACTAATTGGCATGCATAATAGTTGTAACAGAGTGGTCCCTTACACTTCAGTGATAAAATGTTTACATAAAGTCAAAGTAAAGGATGATGCTTGCCCACAAATTTTGACATTTGTGGACCATCGAGATCCAGGCAGCATTGCGAACGACGCCCTCAGATCTAACAAATTGTCATTATTATTTACTACATATAATACTTTTATTTCCTTATTACACCAGTTAAAGGAATAATTTACCTCTTCTTAAGGCATGCTTTCTTAGATCTGTCGGCATTGATTGCGCTGCCCTCTGGCCACGGATGGCTTAAAAAGGTTTATCAGGTACGGAGGTACGTCTCCAGTCTAACAAAAATTTCTGTAGATTTGCTAGTGACTAAAGTAGTAAGCCTTTAGATTTGGCAACGTTGCATTTGGCTGGCGCTCTGTGCTCAGCGTTTGCTCGCTCCCTTTCGATTATTCTGTTTGTTTGGACACCTGCGAATTTCAAATAATACGCTACGTCAAGACCACGACATTGCCGCTATCACGCATATGGAGGATAAGTTAGTCAACGACAGCAGTTTGAAGGAGAATTATTATAAATTATGTATCTTACAAGTACCTAATCGATTTTTACAAGCTGTCATACGGTTCCTTAGATATCGGTTTCCTATTTATACAAGTTTCTGTGGAAACTGTTCGTCAATTGTTGCGTATTCTAAGTGGAAAGACCAAAAAAAATCTGCATTCTCATAAGACTGTACTAAATCGTGAAAAATTATTTTATTAATATCTTGTCTTAGGTATCCAATCTAGTCAGCTTATATTAATTTTTTTTATGAATATTTGTTCGTCAATTCCAAATCAGATAAACCTCCTTAACTTCCCAAAACTGTGGGCAATGTCAACAATTAGACGGGCCCTTTTGTCCTGTATATCTAATGGCATCAGAAGCTATTAGTCTACTAATTTTTACTTTATTGTATTAAGAGGTATTAAACTAATTTAAACAAATTCAAATAAAATTTCTAAACATTATTATCAAGTGAAGTCAAACAATGGTCTTTAATACTAGAAATCTAGGCATGCAAAAGATATCGAACCACAGACAAGATTCCCAACAGTTGGTATTGAAGGAAACAATTACTTTATGGGCTACATCACAGAAATTTAAACATTATTGAAAAGAGAAACAATACCAGAAAAAATTATGTACTCTTTATTCAAGCCGATATATGTAACCGTTTAGCAGGAAATCATACTTAAAAATTAGGGAGTATTCACAGGTTATTACAAAGATCCTTTTCTTCATAAGTCATAGAGTTTATTATAACTCCATGGTCACCACGTTAATTCAGTTGCACTTTAAAAATTTAGTAACAATGATATAGTAGGGTTTATAATTTAATGCCTATATCGGATGTCTGTTTTTTAAATGATTTGCAGTTTACAAAATACCTACTGTTGAAATTTTAATGACTGTCAAAATTTTAACATCCTTTTAAAATACAATGGTACGAATTAGAATTGCCCCTCTAAATTATTAAAAATAATACTGCTGCTTGTACCTTACCCTATATTGTAATTTAAAAAATAAATTGTGGGTTTACAAAAAATTTAGGTATACTCATAAATTTTAATGATACAGGTTTATGCATAGCTTTGAAGACAGAAAAATCATACACAAGGCTATGAGGGAGCATCAGTCGCAACTTGTATGGTTTCGCCGTTTATATATGCATTTTTCGAGGTACATGCTGATAAACACATTGCAGCAAATGAATTTAGTTGATATAGAGCTAGATCTAGTTATAGACGATTAGATGTTATTTCTTTAAGGAATTTAATTTATACAGTTTAACATCACATTATCTTAATTCGTTATTTTTATACAAAGACTATCGACTATCGAACACGGGCTCCTGCGTAATGTGATGTTAAATGACACAAATATGTGACAAATTGTAAATAATGTAAAAAAAAATCTTTCACGTTTTTACTAACTTTATATATATGTATGTTGAATCTACCTCTCGTTACTGTTTCTATAAAGTTATTTTTCAATGTGCCAAAGGTAGCTGTTTTCAGTTAATAAACGCGTTTTATAGATTTTTAAGGCAAATGGTTAAAAATCAAAAATGTAAATATTAACAAAATTGTACATAATTGTTTTCATTTAACAAAAAAAAAAATTGTACATCATGTATATAATAGTTGTTCTAAATGCTAATATTTGGATGCACCTATATGAGCATTCTATACAGAAGACACAAAATGTTTGGAATTAATTATTTTTGTTAAAAACTAAAAATTTATTGGGATGTTGAATAAGTTCTCGATATTTTCTCATGAAAATTAATGCTTTATTTAAAAAAAAAATAGTAAAAAAACATGTCACTTAAAATATTGTCCATTGCTAGCTACTATTTTTTGCCGTCTTTCTAGCACGAATTTAATTTCTTGTCGAAAAAACGACACATCCTTTGAAGCTATCCAAGAGTCGACCCATTTTTTGACATCTTCATAAGTGCTGCTCACCCAGGCTATGTACCAGAGCTAATCAGAAGGAACAATGTCTGGGGAATATAGCGGGTAGGGTAAGACTTCCCATTTAAGTGTTTCCAAATAGGTTTTCATCGGTACCGCAACTTGTGGTAGAGCATAGTCATGCTTCAAAATCATTTTGTCATGTCTATGCTCGTATAGCAGCGATAACTTATTCAAAGTCCCCATAGAATTGAAAAGCATGTAAAAATTTACATTTAAATGTTCAGTAAAACAGAAAAATTTGAATTGCATAATTTTAGGGCTGTTTTTAGAGACAATTTAAAAGTGCTGGAGTCACTAGAGAATTTTTCATTTTTTTTTTATGGAAAGAAAAATTAAAATGTAAAGCAATTTATCTTTTCTATATTTTCAATCAAAATCATATGTAGTTGATATGATAAAATCAGTAGGAATTAAAGTTTTAACTCTTGATTTTATTCAATTAATTCAAAAAATGACATTTGCATTCTATGCTATACCTACACAGGGTGTAACCAAAATACTCAGCCAAGTTTTAATGACAGATTCTACATCTCAATAAAGTTAACATAAACGTGTCTGCAATAGTTTACTTCGAAATACAGGGTGTTAAAAATAATGGAAAATGTTTTTTTAACAACCTTTATTTAAAAAACTAACAGATTCATGCTGATTTTTTAGTTAATTTCTAGAATCTACCTTTAAAATTTCTCCAAATATTTTAGTTGCCTTCTGCATATTATATCTCTAGCTAGAATTACTTCAACAAAAATGACAATATGTATTATGGCAGTAGTGATAAAACCACGAATTTAGAAATTTACACTTCTGTAATGTTATAATTCTCAATTAGGTTATTTGGACACCTAAATAACTCTATCTGACATCATTTAATTTGACATTCTAAGGCCCGATACATCGAGTCTCGGTTAAGGCTCGATTAACTAATCAGGCGATGAGACTGTGATTATACTTGATTAGTTAATCAATCTTTAACCGATACTCAAAGTACTGGGCCTAAATTAAGTAAAGTTGATTTGAAGCCCAATTCATTACTGGTCTATAATTCAAAATGTTGCTAATATTATCAATATTTATTATAAATTTAACGCCCTAACGATTATGTTTCAAATGCTTAGATATATTGGTCACCTTATATAAATTTTGAAAGTAAACAATTTTTGTTTCACATAATATAACGAAAAATCAGTGGTACAGAAGCAGCTAGAGCAGTGTTTTGCAATATTTCATCATCAAAATTCTCCAACTAAAATTTAAAAAAGTTCACGAGTCCACAAACACTGTTTTTTTAGATAAATGGTATGAAGTTTCATTATTTGTTTAGTTATTTCTTTTTTAAGATAATCTATTAAATTCTACAGATTCAACATTTTTCGATGTCAACGGAATGTATAAATTACTATTTAAAGTGATCTTTTCATCATGTACCTACTTTGTTAATTTCATGGATTTTTTTATCTTTGTCTTTAATTGGATAGTATTAATGAAAATGTAACCATGGATTGGAAAATGCTTAGTTTCCAAGGTACAAAGTTTCAAATTGTAACCTGTTCAAGAACTGACTTAGAATATATTCAAAATATTTGAAAATAAATAAATGAAAATTTACCCCAGTACCTATTTGACTTTTTACCCTTTATGGCGAAATTGAGAGCTTAAGTCAAATCTTGCCTCATTTTTTTTGACATTTTCATTTATTTTATTTAATACTAAAACTTGTGAAATTGGATTTTTTTAAATAAAAATCATCAAGAAAAATATAGCAATATTTTACTCAAGCACTCCAGTTTTACTCACCAATGGTTTTGTCTAGTTCATAGTAGTTACCATTTTTTCTTATAAACGATAAAAAGTGAAATACCTGTGTAAATTTTGTTTATCTTAAGGCATTTTAAATTTATTCAAAAATATGTTTTTAGGAATTTCAATTATACTCTTAGAATTTAGCCAATTATTCCACATATTTTTCCAAAAATATGTCTTCAATTTTGGCCGATTTCCTTCTAAACTATTTTTTGATAGTAGATAGTGAATTTTATAATAGAATTGATTTGTTGATTTCATATTATTGATTTTAATGTAGAAGCTTTAAAAAATAATACATATCCTATACCTACTTATCTTAAAATGTTCATACAGTGTGGCACACAAGATTGAAGGTTATACATACTTACTAAACCAATTATGATGATTCAGTTTGAAATTTTGGAAAACAACTAGCATTTTCTATTGAAAATATGTCTACAAGCCTTAATCAAAATCATTTAAAACCCTTATAGCTCAAATTCATTAATTTATAATGCGAAGTAACAATTTCATAGAAACAAGTTCTAAATTTATGCAATTTCCGTTTCAATCTCAAAATTTAGGCTTTGAAAATGCCTGAAGATGGAAAATTAATCAATTAATCAATCTGTTTATAATGGTTCATAAATAATAGTCGGGACATTTCACAGTTTTGAATCTATAAGCCTCTATTATTTGCCAATTAATTAATAAATAAATGTGTCAGTAATTAGCTTTTTTAAACATTTGTAATGCCTTCTAAATTTTTGAAATAGAAACAAAAAAAAATTTAAATTTGTAATAAAAAATTATTTTGCATTATAAATCGACCAAATTTAATATATAGCGATTTTAAGTGAAGCCGGTTAAGAATACATAGTCAGATTTTTAATTAAAAAACTATAATGATTTCCACAAAAATCACAGCAAGCCGTGAATTATTAACTGGACCATCGTTATTAGTTGAGCAAGTATATCGAAAACGCTCACAATATATTTAAATGAAAAAAAATAGAAAATAGAAAAAAATTTCGAAGGGTTTTTAGTGGGCGACACTTTTTTCTTAATTTTTCGATAGACCTGCACAATTTTGTGGGTGAAATATTGCAACACCCTGTATATTATAAAAAAATAGTGTAAATTCACCTTACCAATTTCATAGTTGACTTGTAATAGGTTGTTAGTGATGACGTCACAATGGCGGCAAGCAGATTTTCTACATAACCACATTTCTGCACTAGCTTTTTCTTGATTTTTTGAATGATTATTTATTTTTTAAAAGTGAACGATTCACGAGTAAGGCTTAATTTCGTGTACATTAAACCGCAATATTATAATTCGTTATTATCCCTACAGCTATTTTAAATCTGTACACCAATGTCACATCACTTATCAAGTTGTCATGTACTAATGCCCTACTATGGAACAACTACCTAAAATTAAATCATAATAGACATGTTATGATATGAATATTATGAATCTATAACATTGTAACATGCCCATTATGGTTCCACCAAACTTTCAACGATCATTGTAAAAATCCATTCGTCTTAAGCTATGCAACTCTTAAAATATGTTTTTATATGTCTAATAAAATATCTTTGAACTTTCAAAATTGTTTCATTTATGTGCAACAGTAATAGACCAAGCGAATTAAATTTTTACTCGAAAAAAGTCCTATCCGCGAGATTATTGTAAAATTGTCTAAAGGAACATAATACAAGACATCTCTCATCTCGTGAGTCAAAAACTTTTATCAGCTAACTTTTCTATTTAAACAAATAAGTGAGGAAAACAGTTTTTTCACTTTGCAGGGAAAATCATCAATTTTAACGAAAAGTGACTCACAGACAGCTTGTAGGGAGTAAAATTATCTACAAAATGAGACTTGTTAAATTAATAATCGCATTTATTGTTAAAATTTTATAAAACCTATGACAAGTTGAGGATTTTGTCATACTTCAAAAGTGTGCCAAAAATGGGCGCTGTAGGTGCAATAGTATTCGCACAATTCCATTTGTTTATAATGGAGGCTCCAAAAGTTATGAACTTTAAGCCTCTGTACAGGCTTTAATTTTCAACCAAACATGATTCTGAAAGCGTCATTGTAATCTTAAAGACGCAATTAAGCGACCTATTAAAAAATATCACCGTTTTTTTGACATTAACATTCTCAAATTGTGCATTAAAAAAACGTGCGTTTTTCGCTTATAAACAATTTGAATAACATTGTTGCTATTAATGCTATCTCACCGAAAATAGATGCAATGGACAGCTGGCAAAAAAAATACAGTTTTAAAATAAAAAAAGTATCCTCTACGAACAACAGGAGCCAAGATAAGATTTTTTTTTAATCGGAGCGCAATTGTTTATAAATATTAAGACTTGAATTTTTCGCAAAATACAGTTTGCGACGTAAACTACGATTTCCCGTGAATTGCATTGAAAAATGTGGAAAATTAACGACTCGCGAGCCGTTTAAAGAGAAGGTACTCGCTGTCCGGCGGCATGGTGGTGGGGGAAACTTGTCCAAGCGGTCGCGCGCGCGAGAAAAGTTAAAAATTCAATAAAAAGTTCAAATTGATGCGCGCTGTAAATTTTTCAATATCTCTGCTTCTATTCATCGTAGAAACTTATTTCTTTTTTTAACTGGGGTAGCTCGATGAAAAAATAACAATGGGCATATTTACGAATTCGTAGAATAGCCCTGAACCCCAGAAAAAATGCATCTTTTATAATTAATTTTTTTTTAATTTACAAAAATGTCAAATATTATTGTTAAACGAAATATTAATTAAAATTTCAATTTCGGAATTATTTTACTATTATTAAATAAATAAATGAAGCTATCGTTCATTTAAAAAGTTAATTTTTTTACATATTAAGGCAAAGTAAACTTGCTTTTTCAATATTTTGTTAGCTATTTAATTACGATTTAAATGTAAAATAAAAGTAAAAATTCACAAATTATTTTCAAATTATTATTTATTGTTAAAAGATTTAAAAAAGAATAAAAAGCATTTGAATTTATTGCAAAATTCTCAAAATTAAAAAATATTAAAAATAATGCGGTCGATAAAATTACAATTTTAACTTCTTGAAATTTTAATATATAAAGTTTTTTTATTATATTTATTACTAATTTTATACAAAATATTTTTTGCAACATAATCAAAATTAATTAAAAAAATATTAATCAACCATTTTCAATAATAGATATAATGCAATATAATACAACAATTTAAAATTTTTTCTATTTTTATGAGAAATAATAATTTGAAAATAATTTATGAATTTTCACTTTAATTTTACATTTAAATCGTAATTAAATAGCTAACAAAATATTGAAAAAACAAGTTTACTTTGCCTTAATATGTAAAAAAATTACTTTTTAAATGAACATTTATTTTAATAGTAAAATAATTCCGAAATTGAAATTTTAATTTATCTTTCGTTTAACAATAATTTTTGTGACATTTTTGTAAATTAAAAAAAGGATAAAAGATGCATTTTTTCTGGGGTTCAGGGCTATTCTACGAATTCGTAAATATGCCCATTGCTATTTTTTCGTCAAGCTACCCCAGTTTAAAAAAAATAATAAGTTTCTACGATGAATAGAAGCCGAGATATTGCAAAATTTACAGCGCGCATCAATTTGAACTTCGATTTAACTTTCCGCCGGCCGCCGGACAGTTTACTTAGCGAGTACCTTCTCTTTAAAGGGCTCGTGAGTCGTTAATTTTGCACATTTTTCAATGCAATTCACGGAAAATTGTAGTTTACGTCGTAAACTGTATTTTGCGAAAAATTCAAGTCTTAATAAATATTTACAAACAATTGCGCTACGATTTTTCAAAAAAAATTCTTATCTTGGCTCCTGTTGGTCGTAGAGGGTACTTTTTTAATTTTAAAACTATTTTTTTGCCAGCTATCCATTGCATCTATTTTCGGTGAGATAGCATAAATAGCAACAATGTTATTCAAATTGTTTATAAGCGAAAAACGCACGGTTTTTTAACTATTGCACCTACAGCGTCCACTTTTGGCACACTTTTGATGTATGACAAAACCCTCAACTTGTCATAGGTTTTATAAAATTGTAACAATAAATGCGATAGTTATAAACAAATTAAAAAATGAGCACTTTTCTTGTTTTTTTGCAATAACTTTTTGTTTAATAACCGATTTTAATTTAACAAGTCTCATTTTGTAGATAATTTTACTCCCTATTCCCTACAAGCTGTCTGTGAGTCACTTATCGTTTTGACTCACAAGATGAGAGATGTCTTGTATTGTTATGTTCCTTTAGACAATTTTACAATAATCTCGCGGATAGGACTTTTTTCGAGTTTCTCTTTATTTTCGCTAATTTTCCAGGTGTGTAACAAATGGGACTTTACTTTCAATATTCTACTCGTTTTCATAGTGGATACTACAGGGTGCCTAAGTTTTAACACATGAGACTTCGGGAGTAGATTGTATAATGAAAAATAATGGTACTTTGTCATATAAACTTATTTTGAAATCTCAACCGTTTTCAAGATACAGGGCGTTATAATTAAAAAAAAATTAATTTACTGTAAATATCTTTTGAACTAAATTTGGTGTACGTTATATTGGGTCAAGTTTCAATAAAATCCTATAATATCAAAACTTTTGCGCAACCAGTGGCAGAGATATGGAATTATAAAAAAAAATTGTACGGTCCTGTGCAAAATGATAATTGATTATATTTTATGAAAAAGCATGGGAACAAAAAATACCTCTTACATTTTGTTGATATATGTCACTGTTTTACGGCAAATTGGATTTTTAATTTAAATAAAAAATAAAGTAGCAGCTTTCGATGAGGCTGAAACCAGCAGCCAGACTCATCAGCAAGAACGTCACAATACCGCATATAAAATATTGGTTATTTAAAACGGGAAAAACTGTATTATATGCTTAAAAATAATCATAAAGTAGCATAGTAGTAATGTTTATACAAATTTTGAACTTGTATTACGTTTACACCATATTTTGTGCAATAATAATGTTGTCCAACTTCTTTAGAAAAGTTATACTTCTATTTCTACCGCGATTTGGTCCGCCAAAAAATCGTAGACTAGTAATATTCATCTCTTATTATCCACAAACAAAATTATAAGGGTACATCCCTTATATATTGCAAAAAAAAATTGTTTAAATGATGCCCAGATTATCTGTTTATAATAAATAGCTGTAACGAGATTTGTACCATGAATTGAATGCAGAGAAAATTCTAGAATATGTTTTTAGGTGTCCTCTATGATATCGAAGAAGAATTGTGAGAATACACTTTTTAGTTATTGCAAAAAAAATTGTATGTCGTGCCCAGACCGTCTGTTTATAAATAAATAGCTGTAACGAGATTTGTACCATGAATTGAAAGCAGAAAAAATTCTGGAATATGTTTTAAGGTGTCCTCTATGATATCGAACAAGAATTGTGAGGGTACACTTTTTAGTTATTGCAAAAAAAAAAATTTATGTTGTGCCCAGACTGTCTATAAAAATAACTGTAGCGAGATTCATACCATGAATTGAAAGCAGAGAAAATTCTGGAATACGTTTTTAGGTGTCCTCTATGATATTGAACAAGAATTGTGGGGGTACACCTATTATTGCAAAAAAAAATGATTGTCGTGCCCAGACGGTCTGTTTATAAATAAATAGCTGTAGCGAGATTCATACCATGAATTGAAAACAGAGAAAATTCTGGAGTACGTTTTAAGGTGTTCTCTATGATATCGAACAAGAATTGTGAGAATACACCTTTTAGTTATTGCAAAAAAAAAATGTTCATGTCATGCCCAGACCGTCTGTTTATAAATAAATAGCTGTAGCAAGATTCGTACTATGAATTGAAAGCAGAGAAAATTCTGGAATACGTTTTTAGGTGTTCTCTATGATATCGAATAATAATTGTGAGGGTACACCTTTTAGTTATTGCTGTATTGCTGTTACCTGTAGAGATAGAGTTATAAGAAAAGCTATCATCCACTGAGTCAACTGAGAATGGGTACGTTGAAGATGATTTTATTAACTAAATTATGCAACATTTTTCCTGCCATTTTTAGGCCAATGTTTCAGTGACCTACATCTAATTTCTATTTTCTACCCAATGTTCCTGAACTAAGAAGGATCACGTTAGATTATTAATAATAAATACAAAAAAAAAACTACATATAAATACACTGTCGAGTTATAATTAAAAAGTTAAAATGCACTTTAATACTTGTGTACGCCACCATTGCAATATTCATGTATTACAAATACATGTATTGTAGGCAACCTACAGTGTACGTAAAGAGAGATAGTGTGGGTCAATGGTGACGAAGCGAAGGGGACAGTACATCTAACTGTGAATTTGAATGTTTTTCATCGCTGGAAGCCATCAACAGGTTGCTTTGGCTATACTGTTTGAGTGTTTTTGCTAGGTTACGTGTTAAATGCGTGAGTGGTGTGGAATTGTGCATGCGCTGTGGCTAAAGCGCGCTGTTATAGACTACACTAGCTTGTCCAACGACGGGTATGAAAATTACCAAAAAAAAAAGGTTAGGTTAGGTTAAGTTTTCACGAAGGCATTTAAACTATTGATATGTGTCTCTAAAGGTCAAAGCTTCTGTATAAATATGACCCCCGCTCAAAGTTGCACCCTGTATATATAAAACTATATAGGGTATCCCATTTAAATCAGAATCAGTATTTCAAATAAATGTTGCACCAAATGATTTCTTCACATTTTAAAATCATTTTCAAATATACAAGGTGCCCATAATGGGAATCGTACATTTTCTGAGAAAATATTTATTTAATCTTCAATTTGGCCCGTGAACACTGAAGCCAACATAGTTTCCAGTTTGAGAAACACTGGTGGAATGCCTCTTTAGTTATGGTTCTGAGCAGGGTTGGGATCTTGCCTTTATCTCATCTATTGTTGAAAAACGTCTTTTGAGTATCCTTTCGGGTTTGGGAAATAGGAAAAAGTCAGGAACAGGGTGGTTGCGGCACACCACAACGGTATTGTGTTTCGCTAAGAACTATTGGATAAGCGGCGTGTGCCAATGCATTGTTGTGATGCAAAATCCACGAGTTGTATCTCGTATTCTTGTCGTTTTTCTCCTCATTGCACACAACTTGTAGGTAGTACTCCTTGTTAACTATATGACCGGGCAATAAAAATTTCTGATGAACTATTCCATTGCAGTTGAAGAAAACGGTTAGAAGAACCCTCACATTTGACCAGAGCTCACCTCATCTTCGATGTCCTCCTGAAAACATTTGTACCATTGATAAACTCCTGACTGTGACATAATATCATCACTAAAGGCCTTCTTTAACAATTTGAATGCTTCGCTGAACTTAATTCGGTTTTTAACACAAAATATATATCACACAAACTCTCGAATCCGACATTTCGCCACACAAAAAATCACCAAAAACACATACCATACCAAATAGGATATCCTGTATGGAACTTTTCACCTGTTCAACTCGAGCTGTTAAAAAATTACAAATGTCACTACAGGTACTAATACCATATAGGGTGTTTTAAAAACAAGTCATCCCTTTTAGTAAACAAATAAAACAGCTATTATTAGGAGTTCCACAAAATCTGTCAGACTGAGATTTTTGCGCCAAAAGCTGAAGACTTGTAACGAACCTAATGGTGTCCATGTTCAGCTAGATTTAAATTACAAAGCCATATTAAAAACAAAAAATTATGAAGAGATAATTTATTTTAAGCCCTTCAATGTGCTATAACTTCTTCAAAAAATAAAAAGCATGCATGTTCATTTTTAATCGTTTTTTAATATATTTTAAGCCATTAAGTCTTTTCGACAAACCAAATTTCATTCAAACTACTAAAATCATTTCAGTGAGTTTTTGAAAACTGAAAAAAAAAACTTCCTAGTATCTAAAAAGCGACGTAATAATAATGGACACATATTAACAAGAATTGTTTGTCTTATTTTTCTCCCCATGAGTAATGGCACCTCTTTTTTGACACACCCCACCTCCTAAACAAGGTGCCTTGAATTTTACACAACCAACTTTACCTGGTGATAGGAAAGAGTTCTCATAAACAATGGTCAGGAAATACCTCAGATTTATTATTTATTTAAATATCTCTGAAGGTGTTCGATAAGAGATATATGAAACATTGGAGGAGATACTGGAAGGTACTGTTAATTAAAAAAAAACTGAATTTCAACACCACTCATTAATTTGGAAATTGAGTAAGCGAAATTAATTCCAAATATTATTTCTAAAAACAAAATGTCTATTATTTATTCGAACAATGAGTAGTTTTTATTTCTTCAAAATTTAAAAGAAATTTTTACATAATTGAATAAATTTAAAACATTTCCAATACTTCGTTTCACAAAAATAAAAGAAGCTTATTACATAATTGAATGAATTTAAAACATTCCCAATACTTCATTTCACAAAAATAAAATATTGTATTTCAGACAAAATATGTAAAGCAATTTTTTGTTCTAAATACAATTTCCAACAGCGTAATCATAGAAAGTTAAAGTAACGTACAAATTATATTATTTTTAAATGCATTTTTAATTTACTTGACTTTGTAATAAGTTTATTTACATTTTAAAAATTAATCCTCATTTTTCGAATAAGTCGGCAATGTCAAAATTCTGGGGATACCTACCAGTATCTCCACTACCAGTTGATAGATTTGTATACCAGTTTAGTGCATTTTCATCTTTACTTGGATAATTAGTTTAATTTAGCCCAGGTATCACCTACGTCAAATATCTTCACAGACTTTTAATTTGTATGTATATGAGAAGTTAATAATTTTGAGGAATTATATTAGAAGTTTGGTGTGTGCAATTCCTTATATTATAATAATTTAATATTGAAGTATCTATTTTACAAACTAAAATAGTTTAAAATGTCAATGTTTTTTTTTTTCATACTTAATTTAGTATAATAATTGTGCCAATTTATTTGTGCATACTATTTATTAAAGCTAATAAAATTTATTATAATTTGATTGACATTTAATTTTATAAATATCACATTTCTTTATTATACACACGTTTATTTAATTAATTTAATTAATGTGTATACAGTATGTTTGACTTTCATTACATAATCAATACCTCCATTAGATCTAGGTATATTCGAAATTCAAGAACTCATCTTACCTAACTTTTTCTTATTTACTTTTTTATTTCTTTAATTTGGATAAAACGGTATATTAAAGAATTTATTAAGTTAATACTGTTTGAACTAAGAGAAAACTGTTTTTTTTTGGCATATCCAAAAGAAAAGAAAAAATTGCAAGGAAAGTGCCTTTTCCAGACTACTTTAATTTGAATAAAAAAAAATTAAGTAAGGCTAGTTTTTTCATTTGTAGTCACTGTAAAAACAACACATCGTGTTTATATGTCTTATATTTGCAAAACCAATCATTCTAACAATTATTGGAATTTCAATGAAAATGTACCTTTTTTGAAAATTAATTATGTTATATATGCAAAGTTTACAAATGTAACTTGCGATATTTTTAAATTTAAAAAACAAATTAGATATGATCTAAACAGAAAAGAAAATATGGTTCAACTCTCAAATTGCAAAAGAAAAAGTTTGCATCAGATTTAAAATTTACAGTGGCGGATGGTGAAAATTATTGTAGTCATATTTTAATAATGAAGAGTGGCAGCACACTGCTTTTCATTACAGTCAACTTTCAAAATTAAAAAATAATAGACATATGTACTTATGTGCAAAGTATTTTTTTTGTGTAATCAATTGATAAATTTAGGTATTTACTTGTTTTTCAAAAAAATTTCATTTTAAAGTTAGGTACAGCATAATTAAATAAAAAAAAATGGAATGTTAATATCAAATCATATTTAAATAGTTATAACTACGAAAAAAAATTATCTTTTGAATAAAAAAAATACCATATTGTATATTATTCCTTTTCAATATCTTGGGGAAAATAATCCCAATTTCGCAAATTTCGTGCAAAAATTTTTTTGTCAAAAAAATAGTACGAGCCATGTTTCAATGAAAAAAATATGACTACTTTAATTTTCATCAGTTTCTGTACAGATGATAGGATAAAAACATATTTTCTGTATGTAGGTATAAGTAAATGTTTGGTTTTGCAGACGATGCTAATTTCTCTTAAATTTATTTTCAATACAAGCTCTGCAATTATTTTTCAAAAATTGTCTTGCTCTCTTTGTCTCAAGCACGCATCATGTGATTATGATACATTTCTCTAAAGCTATCAAGTGTTTGTGCTCAAAACTGTGTAAAACACTGAATGGGATCAATTCAGATGAAAAAACAACTTTTTCTGACTGTTAACATTTTTGTGTAAATACATTTTCAACGTCAAAATTTGGTAAAATTATTGTATTATCAGACCCTGCTTTTTCTGCTTTATAGTTATGTAGACATACCACCATTATAGGCATAGTCAGCCTTATTGTGCATTATAAGACAATCGTCAACAAAGTAGAATGAATCGGATCTCGTTTCAAAAGGAGATGCAATCATTTCATTTACTGAAACGTAAAGAAGCATTATCATTTAGCAGATAAAAAAATGACGGAGTTTTTACCAAGATCTGCAGGTAGCGTTGGGAATTCATATATGTGCTCGCACGTGTTTCTTGAAAATGGTATGCAAAAACCAAATTCAAAGTCAAAAGTTTTAAGTAGTTTGTCCCTGAAAAAGTGACGTTCTATCATGCGGAATCTATTAACAGGTTTACTCCCAACAGTGAATTCGACCCTGTAAAGATTGCTTAGAAAAATTTTACCCTGATAAATTACATTCCTACTTACGTTGCGCCCACTGTTTTCAATTTCAAAAACTGTGGTGTAAATTGATACCGCACAAATCGCCCAGAATTGGGATCAATCAATTCCTCATTTTCAATATTCTTGTCAAGACTGTCATCAATATTTTCTGGCAGAGGTTTAGCAATCTCAAAAAGAATAGCTCCACTTTCCAAATCCCGTATTTTGAACCTGGTGAAGTCGATATCGTATATATTGGCGTCTGGATCACATAAGTATGTTTCAGTGATTTTTGTTAACTTTAAAACATCTTCTGGTGAAATAATTTTAGATTCAATGTGAGGTAAAGGTTTACTTGTTATACTGTCCCTTTTTTCTCGCAAAACACTCATTTTAATTGAAACTAACAAACAAAACGTAATTACTTGACAACAACAACAAACTACCTATATGACAACAGATATTGACAGGTATGTCATGTTAGTGTCAGGTAAATCCACAGAGCCATGGCACTCAGGGAATGGATAGTGTTAAATTTTCAATGTTCCGTTCCACAAAACGGTAGCTGCTTTCTAATTGACTAAAAGTGTACTTCAGCAGTTTCAGCACATAGTTAGTAATATGTGACTTCAGACACACTTCAGATTATACGCGGCAGCGAAAATAGTTCCATCTGTCGTGCAGACTCCCAACTATGCCATTCAAAAGGCTACAGTAGGAAGCGACCTGCTATATTGCAGGTACTTGGTTGCACGACTGCCACCCACAGAGGGCGTAACACAATGTTTGAGTTGTCAGTGTTACGAGAAACAACTACTCGGTCGGTTGTCGCACCTATGACACACTGATGAGTAGTGCTGGCAACTGAAATCGGTTTTTTGGATAGTCGGTTAACCGGTTTCGGGTAATTCGGATTTTTATGAAATCCGAAAACCGGTTATTCGATTCTTCAAATATCCGATTATTCAAATAACCGATTATTCGATAATCTACTTCCTTTTTTTTAGACATCGATTTGTCCAATTGCAATTGACCTCTTTTTTTTTGGAGATCGATTTCTTCGTAAACAAATTTGACTTCCAGATTTTTGTAAAGACCTTTTTTTTTAGACATCAATTTCTCCGGGTCTGTCTTTGTAAAGCACCAATTTTCAGATATCCCGTTTTGGCGATTCAAGTAACGGGTTAATCGAATAACCGGTTTTAGCAACTATTCGACTAACCGGTTTTATCTGAAATCGGTTTTTACGAAACCCGGTTAACCGGTTTCACTTTTTTCCGGTTTTTGCCAGCACTACTGATGAGGACTAATAAGTCCGGAACCGGTCTGTGCCTGGTGGGTAAACTGATAAACGATACTAGGTGTTGGGAGTATAATTCAACGCCGGTAGGAGCATATAGCTCTTGGAGTAGTTGTTTCTCGTAACACTGACAACTCAAACAGTTCAGATTAGCTTTTGACGTTCCAATAAGATAGAACATTTTCTTCTTAAAGTGTTAATTTTCCATTCTCCTCTGACATAGCACATTTTACTGAAGTTTTATATTCTCAAATTGTTCGAAACAAAAATATTGGATTTAACTTTTTAGAACTGGTTCTGAGAAAACCAAAAAAAGTGCGCATGGGCAGATTCTTATATGTAGAACTCGTCAACGTACGAGCCAAAACAAAGCATAGTAAGTAATAGCACTATTGGACGAAAACTGTCAAAATATTTAATAGCATCAAACTATTCCAAATTTCCAATTATTCGATAGTCCAAGAGAGTGACTCATCGCTAGCTTTTGGACTTAGTAAGAGGGATGAAGCGTGCGGGGAACGAAAATCCATTGGCATGTCTGCATAAAAGGCAATAAGATATACAAAATATGGAAAAAAGATAATAAAACATAACATCTAAATTTTTGACGGTTTGCTATAACCGGCACGATACTTTCGACAAAAACCGGTTCCACTATATGGGGATCCTCCACTTCAAAGAGTCTCCAGAGAGCCACGCTAAATTACTAGATATAACATTTATTTTAATAACACCCTTTACTGGTTACGATATGAACAAATAATAATATCAACTAATAAATAATAATACGTCCTATACCAACAAAATACCCCGCCAAGCAATGCTCTGCACGGCACTGGCAAAGCGGCAAAGCTAAGTGAACCCGTGTACCATACAAAAAAATTATTTACGATCTAGTGTACCAATACAGGTAAGCTTTGATGACCAGCATGCCGCCTTCAATTTTACATTAGGTGGACTAGTTTACCAATACTGGACTCGCAGAATTGCTATTCAAGTATAAATTATGAGACACACCATGGTCAAAGCATAAGAAAAAATTTCAGGAGAAGTGCGTACGGTCCTGTGCTTTAAAATTTACAGGTTCCAACTAACATCGTAACAACTATACACATTTAGCTATCAATAGAAAATGATAAATAACAACATAGGTACTTAAGTATCTTCTTATTTGATTTCCCAATTATCTAAAAACCAGTAAATTTTACGAATACTTTACAAGAATACTTTATTGCCACAAATTGATTGTACTTTTCAAAAACATTTAAAATCATTTAAAAAACCACTGGCGGACAATTTTTTTTCAAAAAAGTTCCCTACTCCCCAGTTATCCATGAAAAAATAGTCTACTAAAAAAATGTCATTCCCCAAATTTTATCACTAAATATTTTTTGCCAGTGAAGTTACAGGAAAAATCATATAAATATTTGAAACTTTTAACACCCTGTATCTCCGTAGGGAAGCGTCCTATCAAAAATTTTTATTGGGCAAAAGTTGATTATTTTCATCGGTAGAATACGCCATTAAAGTTTGGCAAAACTTATCATTAACACCCTGTATCTTTGTTTTTGATGTATGATCTATTATTTTTTCTAAATATTCTTTGCTATACTACATTTTTGTTCCTTTCTATAAGCATATATCTTTGATTTTATTTTAACTAACTAAAGTTCATTTCATGCATAATACACAGTAAAACTCCTTAGGACAATCTAGGCAAATTTAATTTTCTTCATTTGTAACAAAATCTGTTAATCCTCCTAGCAACTATCCTCCTGATAAACATTGTTTATCATACAACGTTCTTAACCGATTAGCACTTGCATGCAATTCCATTTTTAAAAACACACTGGAATAATTAAAATGTGAAAATAACACAATTTTCGCACTTGCACACATATGACACAAAAGGAAACGACTAACTTGGATACTGACTCATCCAGAAATGAAAATGCAGCACTGGTCATGTCTCTTTTTTGTAAACGATAAGCAAAGACACAAATGGGCACTTGTAACTATAGAACGTTGCAAAATTCTTGTGTGTAAGCTGGATATATCATCGGAACACTATGCGAAATGAACAGCACATTACAGTTTCATTGTGGAGAATACACAAAATTATTTTATCAGATTAGAAACATAAAAATTGTGGTTTTATTTTATTATGTATGATACTTACTGCCTATTTTGGAATTTAGGTATAAGAGATTTTATTATGATCGAGACAAGCTTTTATTACGCCATTCCATTTTAAACAGATTATAGGATATTTGTAGGAGCAGTAAACAAAAAATCGGCATATTGAAGAATAAAAATGAGTGTTCATCATTTATATTTTTTACAAATATTATTAAAATTGATAATCCTCAATTTTTTTGCAAATCAATTATATATGATTTAGGGAATATACCTATAGAATTTACTTGTATAAATAATTTTGTTAGTTGCGACAAACTAAATGTAAACACTTGAAGCAGAATCAACATAGATGTTCGAACGAGTACAATATGTGCTTTACGCAATATTATTCTACCATCCGGGTGTTGTATTCGCCAGCCTCCTAATTCGGCGGGTATTTCTATCTTGATCCCTAATCTTCTTTTCCATTTCGGCGTCAGTAAGGGTTTCCAGGAAAGGGGCCCACTGATCCGATTCACTGGGTGTCCTGAAAGGTACCTCCACAGTGGGAAGTGGAGCTTCACTAAAAGCATAAGTTCTCTGATGCCAAGAGAGCTGTCCACGAATGGAATAGGCAATTGCCGTGACAAATTCCCCGCCTAACCCCAATTCCGCACAAAGTTTCAAGGCAAAATCTTCTGGATTGTTCTGCTTTTCGCTCATATCCCACTCTACCTGGCAATATGAATTAAAATTATCAAATGACAGCCGATTTTTATAAAAAAATAAACAATTTGGCAAGATAGTGCACTACATAGCTTTGTTTTGGACTATACAGGGTGTAACTATGAGTGGGGGTTAGTTTTTTAGGGGCAATAGTAGTTTTCCCCTGAATACAAATCTGAACTTTTATTTTTTTTTAATCAAATAATTAGTTTTTTAAACTTCACTTTAATTCTTACATCGCCACTACATTGTTTTAATATGACAAAGTGTCACTTTAGAGTCAACATATTTTTTTTTAAATTGTTTTCAAAAAATTAAAAATTTCAACATGGTTTATTAAGTATTTACCAATATTGGTTACTAATTGTAAATAAAAAGAAATTGTTTTATAATAATTATTTTTGTTTTAAAAATCGAAATAAATAAAAATACCTACTACTTAAAGTCTACTTTTTGTCAGGTGCAAAGAAGACAATATCAGAAAGATTATCATAAGTACCGAATAAGAAAATGTTTGTAAGATTGGTTCAACATTTAAGAGATGACGGGAGTTTTGAACACCAATGCGCTAATGTTGGATGTGTACAAAATCAGAGTGTGAGAACCAGAAATTTTAAAAGCCGTGGAAGAGGATCCTGATACCAGTAAGTACTTGACGATTAGCCACAAAATTACAAGTATGTCATATGCTGTAAAAATCAGGTCAATAAACACTTTACTTACTTATTTTTGTGTATTTCATATATCATTACTGATTACAGCTTGAGTTTTCTCTTAAATTACTTAAGTATTAGGTGCTAATTAGTAGCTTATTTAAAAGAATTACTTTTTCATTTCTGTGGGATGATAGGGCTCCAGACAATTACCCACTCAACAAATTTGCTTTTTAGTAACTATTCGTTTAACCCTTTTGCTGCACAATATGTCTGAACGTAGCTACCGCGCCGTGTGGGATAGTTTATCGCGTGCGAACATATACGTATGGAGCAGTTAGACCACTTATAGTTTTAGAGGTGTTTTAATATCTCATGAGCCGCAAAATGCGTGAAAGGCGTGGCGTATCCGCATAATTCTTCTAATATGCACGTTGTGAAAACCTTGACTCAGAATTAGACCACGTGCCTCATTACAACCAGAAATGAACTAAGGCGCTCGGGCATCAATAAAGTCAACTGGCGAACGTTTGTTATATTTATTTTTATTGCTTAAATTAAAATAATAAAGAATAGGGCACTTTATTATTATATTTGTAATCGGATCAAAGGCTTTTTACGCTACGAAAGCTAGAGATAGACTGTGAATAATAGATGTAATGTTTTTAGGACGTAGAATAATTTAGGTGACGGTCGGAATTATGTTTCTGCGCATATGAAGGTCAAAGCTCATAAGATTTTAAAACACCTGTACATTATGTTGTGTTAAATTACGATTTACAATCAATTTTACGATTTTATTTTAAATAATATACAGTATATCGACAGCTATACTAAATAGAAACTGAAAGAGAGATGAACAATCTTGGCATTATTACCAGTACCTCTTTCCATAAAAATATTTGTCACAATCTCTATAAGCTCTGCCCGCAAAAATTCCTCATACCAATCGCAACTAATGCGCATGGTTGCGAATATATACGGTTTGAGCAGCCTGATCCAATTTAACTATTCAAGCAAATTAATCCGTCTGGAGCAGTTTGAGCCCTATACATTTTTAGCGAATAAATACGTCTGGAGCAGTGAAAGGGTTAAATCATGAGATTTGACAACAATGCCCTGTTCCCAATTGTGCATGGGCTGCGACTAAAGCGCTCTGTTGTTTGAATTTGGGTATGAAAAGGTTGAAAGAAAAATTAAGTTTTCACAACAGAATTTGAAAAAAATAAACTATTGATACATGTTTCTAAAGGTCAAAGGTAGCCTCTGTATAAATACAACCGCACTCAAAGTTACACCCTGTATAGCGTGTTCTGTTTAAAACTACCCGGCATGATACATTAAAAACCAAAGACCTCTAATTTCTGTAAACATTAAATTTTTTTGACAATAGAAACCTTAGAAAGTGATCCACATGAACGCTGATGAAAATGAATCATATTTTGATAATGGAAAATGGGATACATACCATTTTTTAAGAGACAATTTTTGTGCTTACATAGAAAGTTTCTGTGATGAAAAAATTTCAATCTATCGACTTTAACAAGGGCAACTGTGACGCGCCACCATATGTAGCTAAGTAACTTGTATATGATTAAAAAGTGATTACCTGATCTACCAAGGAAGTGTTTCCAACGTGTATATTCAACTTTATAATGACTCTTTGGTCGCAGCTTTCTTCAATTATACTTGGCGGCTCTGCTGGGAATGCTTCTAACTGTTGTCGGATTGCCTGTGCTATTGCCGGCACAAAAGTTAACGGATTCAAATCCAAATCGTCACATAAAACTTCTGCAAACTGTTCAGGGGTAATTAAACTCTCTGGAAATAAACCTTTTAGTACGAAATAACCAAATCGTGCAACATATATTTACCGTTTTTATTCCAGGTAAAAGTGTCCCTCAATTTCTGACCCTCTATTTCCATATCAAGCCTAATTGGAACTAGTATTTCTGCTTGACAAGCATTTTCGCTATTTATTTGTGGATCTGTGTCATCAAAACATAACGGAAAAGTCCTAACCTTTTTAGCTGCTACTCTATTTCTATTGATGGGAGTAGCTTGTGGAACCGCATCCAAGTGACTTGAATTGGGCAACGATGGCACCCATTGCATGTTTTTCTTTGATTTTCCTTCTCTTGGCATAGGCGGTTCTGAAGTATGAACAGAAACCGCTTTGTACCTAGGAAATATACAGATCTTAAAATTCAAGTTTCAACGAATCTCATTTGTTTATACTTCTCATCATTGCCTTCTATAATATCTTCCACTTCTGTAGCTTTCAATAATGAAACACTACTAGCAAGTACGTGCTGACTTAAACCGAGTTCAATTAAATGTTTTCTTTCTTCATTTGTAATAGGTCGTCTAAACATGCCAGGATATTTTTTGTACAAGGAACCCCTAAACAATCGAAGGTAGTTTCCCACCTAAAAAAATATTTTCTTACACAAAATAAAAAAGGGATAGAAATGATTCACCTCCGAGCCGACACAATAATATTCTCCATTTTCCTCTAACTGGAAACTTATGGGCTTATCTCCATAAGTTCTTAGAGCCATTTTTATTCCTTAAAAAGATTTTGTGGAAACTTATTTCTTTTTTTTAAGAGACCAATTTTCTATATGACGACATTTGAGTCACAGCACATGTAATAGATGTTATAAAGATATCAAAATCTCAAATTAATAATACCGTTTGTTTATAAATATAAATAGGTAAATGAAAATCATAAAATATGATAAAAAACGAAAAGACCACGAATCATGGAACATGAGCATGAGATCATGGTGATACCAGTGTTGCCAACACGAGCATTGAGAAATCCGCTAGATGAGTTGTCAAAAAACGCCAGAAAAAAGCCAAATTGTGTATATGACATATTAAATATAAATATAAAGAAAATCTACATTTAAAGATCTTTTTC